GGGGCGGGGTTCTAAAGGGAAAGGGGAGGGAGAAGAAGGACAGGGCAGAGGAAGGAGCTGAGTAAGGCTGAATTCTCTCTCAGCCAGAGGCGGATTCAGCCTGATCCCACGGGCAGCTCTGGAGCAGGAACGACACACAGAGCATTGTCCCCACCTTGAGACAAGAAGCCACCTTTTCTGCAGTTGGTTAGCTTGGCTACACATCAACCAACTAAAGAGTGACAGATCTACGTTTCCCACCTATATTCTGGAGAAGGGATCGGCTATGAGCCATCACAGCCAAGACCCCAGCAGCTGGGATACGGGTGTACCTACAGGAAAAGAGGGCCCGGGCGGGGTCCCGGAGTCCCCACTACCTGTGCTGTGAAGCATCATCACATGCATGTAACATATGTCAGTCTGTTCATGAGGGCAGGGACTGTGTCTCGTTCTGTTTACTGCCGTATCTCTGGAGTCTGGTACATAATAAGCTGTGATGAATGAATGAATGAACAAGCTAATGAGTCACTAAATGACAAACAGACGAGAATAAGAGGAAGGGCAGGTCTGCAGAGAAGGACGTTTATTTGGACTTTAAAAAGCAAGTTGAAAAATACCAAAAACATCTAGTGGACTTTGTGCCAATTAATGAATCATTTCGGACTGTTCTACAGTCACCACCACCCCCCCCCCAAAAAAAAGATACTCATCAAGAAAACCTTAAATCTTCAAAAAATTCAAAGGGCACATTGGGTCCAGCCAAAGCTGATGCTCTCTCCATCGTATTCTGGAGTGATGCCTGCTGGGAGTATCTTTCATTTTCCATGAAAGTGCCCCCTCAGGTCAAGAAAGCCAAAGGGCCAAAATGTTCAGAAGAGAGCTGAGCCAGAGAACCTACGAGCATCTGACATCAGCCTGATGTCACCTCAGCATCTGCCCTCTTCTGTGGGGAGGAATGTCACGGCCAGTGACCTCCAAAGATGGCCCCCTCTGAAGGGCCTGACCAGGGGTCCATAAAGATCTTGGTTGTTCACAAAACCGGTGCCATAACTTTTACGAGTGTGGAGTCTTATTGGGCAGGAAGATAGGATGTTAAGGACGAAAAAAGTTTTACAAAATATGTGAGGGAAAAGCCAAAGTTCTGGAAAAGAATGTTCCATCCCAACCCTCCCCCGAAGTCGGCCACTGGTTGCAAGCCTTCTCTCTCCCAGGACAACCTCTGTGGAGCCTCCATGCCACCATGGGGGCAAGCGCCAAAGAGTGGGGCCCGGTGACACCCCTAGCCTCACCTCCCGTGTGCTGCACTGACGCCCATGACACAAACGTACTCACGCAGCTCAGGGGAGTCACCAGGGGCCCAGGTGCGGGGCAGATGTCAAAGCCCTGAGAGTTGGACTCCCCAGGGGGGACCGACATGTGGGGAACACAATCCCTGAGGAGGTGGCAAAGGGGCATAGATCACAGAAGCCCTGTCACCTCCTCTGGTTATCCGGTGACACAGTTCCAGCTTATCGTAGGCCTACGGCTCGGGCCCCAGCCCCGGGCAGCCGGGTTCTGCCGCTGCCCTGCCCCACAGTGACCCACCTCACTCTCTAGGCTCCGTGCCCTCATCGACAACACAAGGAGACACGGCACCTGTCTCAGTGGAACTTAGGGGAGGAGACAAACAACGTACATCAAGCGTTCAGGGCCGTGCCTGGCCTGCCGCAACCACCAAATAAAAGACAGCATCTCTCTCTCCGTCACCGATGCCACCCCCCAACCCCCCAGCCCCACTCGTCACGAAGCGCCACCCCAGCCGCTAAAGGATAACCACTCACACGTGGAGCGTGAGTCACAACCTGGGAGGCACTTTCACGTGGATCGCAACACTGGGTGTGGGCAAGGACCCAGAGAGGGCAGGAAGCTGACTGTGAATTACAGATGGGGACACTGAGGCACAGAAGCGGGAGAGAAGAGGCCCACCCACGGTCACTGACAGAGCCAGGAGGCGGGAGAGCCGGAGGCGGGCTCCAAGGTGAGGCCCTTCCCAGTCCCCTTCCTCTCTTCCAGCAAGAAAGGCAGCACGTGGTCGGCACAGAAGGAAGATGAAAGGACAGCAGAATAATGCGCAGAGAAAATCAACAACTCCATCTGGGCTGCGTGACAAAAGCAAATTCCTTAAAAGTAGCAAAATGAAGTGCGGACGAGGGCCACATGTTCTATTCTGGTCTATGGTGATAAACATCATGCTTCTTGGTTGATAGGAAACTATTTTTTCCCCACTCTATATACAAGGAGCTTCCAGTCGCAACCCCCCCTTCCAGAAACTGAAAAAAAATTCTTTGCTGCATATTTTGCATTCTCCCCAGGAAATTCCAGCCCAAGGGGGTCTGTGCTCTCTCTGGTGCAGGATTCAGCCCGGGGGCCCTAAGTTCCTCTCCTGCCTCTTGCTAAGGAACCCACGTGAGAGGAAAGGGCCTCGCCCAAGCGCACAACGGGTTCTCGGGAGCTCCCCCAAAATGCAGATGCTCAGGACAGACAGTAATTACGGTTCCACAACCACGCACGTCCACAGAGAACCCTCACGCGTGGCAGCCGGGAAGACACGGCAGGTGAACGTGTGTGCGGGTGTTCGCGGGCCTAGGGCCATGACGTGGGGAGGGAATTAGCCTGTGTCTCCTCCAATTATGAGAAAGTCAAGCTCCTGGTAGAGACAGGAATCCAAGGACCGAGTAGATCCCGAAAGGCAGGCTGAGTGGTTGAATGAGACACCTGCCTCCGTGAATCGGGGACCTTGAAGGTCTGGGGTGGAGCTGGGAGGCACTTATCACAGCTAAGTACTTTTCACCAGGGCTAGACCCAAATCAACCAGTCAACCAATCAGTCAAAAGCTCTCCCCTCCCCGCTCTGCTGGGTATTCCCTGGGAAACTAGCAGGCCACTCTCCCCTCCTCTGGGCCAGCCTCTCATGCAGGCTTGGTCCCCAGCAGGGCCTCAGGGGCGTGAGGGCCAGCTGCTCCCGACATCTACACAGGGGCAGACACCTTCCTGACCTGCAACCACATAAGAAGCCCTTTGCTTCGAAGGATCCACCAGCGGAAAAGCAACAGATGGGGATGTGCCGGGCGCTGGGCAGGCCACCGCTGGTACTTGCCTGTCTCGGCTGGGTGCCATCTGGAAACAGCCTGAGACGCAGCCTTGGGTGCAGAAATATATCTGGGAGGTGACTTCATGGAGTTCAAGGGAAGAAAGACGCAGAGAAGGAAATACCAATAAACCTAGGCTGCCTTATTGAGCGAGACCCACCGGGACTCGGCCTGGCTGGGGACTCTGGGGGACCGGGTAGGAGGGGCCCCCATACCGAGTCTCCGGGGGCCGGGAGGCTGGAGGTTGACCCGCCACACCTCTGGAAGCATCCTGAGTCCTGTGTCACAGTAAGGAATCCGAGGCTTGGAGAAGCCACACGTGCCCCTGAGTGGCCGAACCAGATTTCGATCCCAGCCCTCTCTGAACTGCGAACTGCCAAACAACCCACACGTGCCTTCGCGTGATCGAGAATCCCATACAAATCTGTGGCACTGGAGTCCTCGGTCAACATTCCGGAGGTGTTCTGTGCCCCTCCGACCATTCCGTGATGCCTGGATGAGGAGCCAACTAGGTGCCCATCAGTTCTGGGCACCAGCCATCCAAAGACACCCTAATTTCATGGGTTTCGTGATCCCAGGGTGGCACTATGGTGGCAGGGACCTCAAAAA